TTCAACGCAGCCGAATTTCTCGCATATGTGTGCTTGCCTGTGAATACCCAGGCCATTTCGGATAAACTAAAACACATGCAGAAGGATATTTTGAAAAAGCATGGATTTATCTCTCCTCACCTTGCAATATATGCAGTCGGTATCTGTTACGTATGAATCTATCAGATTTCTAGTGCAGTACTCAATCCCTTAAAATTTGTTTATAAGTGTTCCCGCAAACTTACTGCTGCAAACTATGGAAAAAAATTAGACATAAAGTCGAAATATGTACCTACCGATTATCATACAAACTGAACTTCGCTGCTGGAAAACAAAGTGCAAGAGTTCAGATACTTCGAGCTCCGGTAAGAGACAGATGAGAAAAAAATATGCCTTTGAGCAAAATTTACTCACCCGTTGTTTACTGAGGGTATAAAATTGTGTGCCACAACATTTTCTAAACCAGAACTCAAAAACACAAGGTCGAACATCTGCATACCTGTCTGCATATGTTTCCGCAATCTTAACAATAAGATTAAGTCAAATAAAACAGTATGTTTAATGTGAATCAGGCCATTCAAAACCAATACGATCTTGAAACCTACCCCACAGTTTTTGCAACCACTGGCGGTTGTCATACTGCCTCCTCCGTACTGCACCAGACACTGGATACCTAGAGATTATTAGAAATAGCGTAGCAGCCAGCAGTCGGGGTAAGGAGTAAAAGCGCAAAATGTGCTATCATGCCCGGCTGATTAAAACCTGTTCGAAGTTAATCCATAGAATGATAGGGCTACTGGCACTTATATACATCACGTTGACCGTCAATATTGATACTCTGACAATGGTAATTGAATAGTTCTTACCTTCAGTAAAGCGAAGTTGCCTGGTTCCTACGCACATGATGTCATTTTTTTAAGCGAAGATGTGAGCCGTTGAAAAAGGTTGGATTGTATGTCACCAAAGGCATAAACTAATGGATGATTTCAGGGTATCCTGTCTGTATAGCACTTGGGTCATGAAACTATTCCGAGTTAAGAAATCACGATTATTCCTGGGCTGGTAGTTGGACACACGAGCCCACTCCCAGATAGCTCGTAATCAACTCCATTTTGCCAGCACCTTGTTGGGTTTGAACTGAAGCACCGCACCGCTGCAACCTGACATTATTACTCAAAAGTTCAATGGAGAGTGGCTCCATACCTTGCGACACGTTTCTTCACAAGATTTTCTCTCCTCGCTTCACAATGGAAATATTGACATCGCTCACACGGGCAATATGTGAAGCTAATATTTCTATGAAATGTGTCCTTGCACAAATAAAGGACTCCAAAAGTGATTCCCTATTATTGTTTTGACTTCCAATTTTTGAATGAACCGTAATTTTTATTCCTGCTTGAAAAGCTTGCAAGGACGATATAAGCACGGTGGATTACTTACTGCTTTCGGAGTTCGAAGGTTGCTCAAACGAAAGTGGTTTGGTGTGTTTTGCCGTTTTTGCGTTCATATCTGAAGACGGACGCTAAGAGAAGCAAATATTTTCATGTCATTCTTGGAGGTTAGCGGCGCTGAGTTCTCCAATGTAGATGTAATTCCATCCAAAAAATGAACGTTTTGTTGATGTTAAGAAATTTCACCTTGATGTGTGTGTCCCATGAGCAGATGAAAAAAGAGAAATATAGTTCGTTGCAACAATGTTATAGTGGATGCTTTCGAGTTTTCGGAATTTCCCAGAATTTAATTGTGAACAAACACATAGGCGTCAGGGATGAACAGGACTCATTCGATCACATCCCGACCAAATATTCTGTTTGTGTTTCGACATAATGATGTGTGAAATCATGTAAGCCGAACCAATACGCGTAATCCACTATTCCCGATATGTCCTTTCATTAGGTTTACTTTGCGGACATTTATTCTTTTTGTTGTGTTATAAACCCAGAAATTTCCAGCTTTCCCATCGGTTAAGTAATATCATTTTAAGAGCCAAAAACCCAGTGAGAGAAACGTTAGGTATGATTGGCGTGCGCTTTAGCATGCACTAATTATCCCTGATGGGCGATACGCTGTCTCAATGATCGCATTGCAAAACGTGATATATTTGTGGTCGCCCGTTGGCACTGTGTTCCAGGTCACACCATCCAGGTCACACAATATGTGAATCGTTTAAAACAATCTGATTGAGGATGAACAAGTCTGAGCTTTGGTAGCAGGATGCCGTCCTCGCATCGGAAAACTACGCTTTCCAAGTTATGCCTGCATTTTTTGTACTTGAAAGAGGCAGCCCCTCTCGGTGTCGACCGCAGAATTTTATTTGTGTAATAAAATCACTTTCCCAGGAATTAGCCTAAGCCTGTTGCCGACACTGGAATAGCAAACACCTCGTACTTTGAGACGAAATCAACCAGACTACGAGTTTTTCACCGCGCTTCCTTATCCTTGATTGCGCGTTGTTATAAACATGCGGGACGTCTAAAATTTTCTAATGGCACCTACAGTTATAACGCGATCAGTTTGTTATTATTGCCGAGGTGGCCAAAGTATCACCGCACTGTTTAGGTTTGGGCACTAGTTTTGCATGTTATCTATTCTCGAAAATAACTTGTTCTACTGACAGAATGAAGTCGGTTTACTTTCCATTACTCTACCTATGTGGGTAAGCCAAATGGGCTAAGTTCATAAATTTTCGCCGGTCGTCATCTTAGATTTTTAATTTCCTCCGTACTTTATCTGTCAGAATGCAACAATGTTGAAGAATAATTAAGTGAGTTTTGCTCAAAAGGCGTTTGAGAATCAACAGTATGTGAATGGGCAACATTACAGTCGGAGAGATAAACGTGGCATCTTGCTCACTCAGATTTATTAAGCAGTTTATTGATGCTCTTCGAGGTTTGACCGCAACTTGTCTTTATGTGTTCGCAGTTCTCTGACATAACGACCGTTTGCAGCCTGAAATCTTGGTGAAGCATTATTAATGTTGGTCTTCGTAATGACCATTCTGGTAAACATCATCTGTCTCGCGCCAGAAACAAGTAATATAATGGGACAGTGAAACCCACACATGCGGTGGAAAAAGTTTATTCCTAACTTCTCTTCACAGAAAATATTGTTGCTCTCTCAACGTTTTTTTTTCATTTTCTATATTCTAAACTTGGTCAGACTTTCTGAATCACTACACAAAGTGACATTAACAAGTGAGCTTGATGTTTTACCTCTTACGTGTACTGAGAAATGGAATCTTCTTTGTATCATCTGCGAACCGATCAGCGAACCGTACGAAGTTTTGAAGCCGCTGCGCGCTCTGTGGAATGAAAATGAATTTTTTTCTAGTTCCATGAACTTTTATGCAACTTTAAGTTTCGCACTGCCTCCACAATATTTGCACGCTATTTAAGCTGGTTAGCATCACATCAGTGTTGGATTACACCATATACTTTGAAAATAACTTCCAGATGACATTCGCTCCTTCTGTATTTGTGAAGGATTCATCGCTCGTCCAAAAATACTCAACACCCCATTGCATGGCACCTCTGTTGAATTCAACAAAATCGTTGTCCTAACGGGATATAAAACACTGGGATTTTCCTATGAGATCACCTAATAAAACAGCAAATCGATAGGCACAAATTTCAGATTGTCAGAGAGGTAAGACCAGCATCTCAAACTGTATGCCCAGATAATGTCGGTCATTCGGAACCGGCTTTATGAAATACAACACCATTTTGAATGTGCCGAACGAGGTGAAATTCGCTTCATGCTATAGCTCTTGTAGGACGTCCATTGCAATCCACAGACAGCCGGCATCGCAAATTGTGCGGTGCAAATGTAGGGTTGCGCAACATGCCATTTCGGGGTTGATGAACGTAAGTGAATTCAATTTTATTCAAACATTCAGATGGCGGGAACCAATACGGCCGACCAACAAAGCTACATTTTCCACCTTCATCTCGTTTGAATAAGCATGTGTCAATGACCACATTAATTGCCACGCGACTTTTGCACACGCATGCCCACTTTCCAATATTGTGGTTTTCCGAATTAGATGCATGATTTGCAAAAAGGGCTGCTGAGGCAATGGACTGCACTTAAATGGGCAAAAAATGCAAGTGACACTTTGAGTCCCTGCGTTTTAACCGATAGTCTCTACGGATCTGCCCATATCCATATCCAAGTTAAGTCACTGGATTATGGTAATAATATGAAAACGAGAGTTAATAATAAGCGAGAGTGCTTTCATCTGCCCGCTCTTTTTCTCTAATGGGCGTTCGCTTCACTAAAATAAAGCGGTTTAATACTGGGTAACCCCAAATATGGCTCCCTTTGCTAGGAAGAATGAGTCGCTCTTGCCCAATGTCAGACTACTAGCATTATTTATCACTAAACCATCTTCACCTTTATATGCGAACATTTCGTATGCATTTATTTTCTACTATCGTTGTCTGAGCACGGTAGCAAAGAAATTTGACTAAAGACGTCACGACTTGTAGAATAGCTCGTTCTGCTGAGTGGTCTGGTGAGCGAATTTCGGTCGCTCCACGGAATCTGCCCAATCCCCATCACTTCCTTTGAAACTGGCCCGTAAACCGTGATGAAATTTGTAAACTTCATTTATCCTGTGGCCACAATAACCATGTCAAATTGAAATTAAACAGAATTATCCACAGTAACTTTGCGTCTACCCTTACCAGTTTCGCACACGGTTGCACACCGTACATAATGCCATCACGGTCTCATTAGCTCACTCTGGGGATTCGAGAGGTGCTCAATGATGATGGTTCTTAACAACGTTTTAAACTGACGTGCATCAATTCTGGAGCGTTCTGTAAGGAACCAAATTACTTATTCACTCATGGAATTATGTTTTTGCAATTCGCCTACGTCAACTCAGACACCAGAGCAGCTGAAAAGCGGCTGACCGGTAACAGAGGCACTTCCATTTGATACACCTAGAGGCGGGCTCTTCCCAATTAGTAGAATGTAGAAGAGTAGCACGAAATTACGTGTTTTATAATTCATTTCAGGTCATCTCGGTTCAATACTTTTATCGCCATTTTTGTGCTTCTTCTGATTTTATCTGTCCACACTCGTAAGCTTCTCCGTTCCTCCACTTGATTTCCCTCAAGGTCAGTGTCTGCCGTGTCACTGAATATTCCGACCGGATATATTTATTAAGGCAAGGTAAATGTGCATTTTGGCGCAAATTGCTGAACACGCTGCTATGTGTTATTCTATAAGTTACAGTGCCATCACTTTTCAGTAAGATTATTTGGTTGAATATAAAGAAAAATACCAGGTAGTTTATGTTGAACAACATATCATTTATCCACGTTTCAAGAGGTAGCTTGATGAAACTATTTGCAGAGGTAGAACGTAGCCGACTGCAGAGGGCACTTGGCTCATTTTAGGCGCTTATGAGAGCTCATCAGCATTGCATGTCCACTGGCCTTATTAAGTTTTACACTCCGAGCAGCTGGCATTTCAGGCAGAAGTGTTACTACAATTTCACAAGCGCACGGTTGAAGCGTCCCAATTTTCACGCCTCTGCGTGTGAACGTGTCTACGTTTGGGCGATACCGACTCATACGCCGATAGGACAATAGCATAAGCTTGCTGATGAGCCCTTAAAAAGACCTCAAATTGAGTCCAGTACTGCCCCATTTTGGTGTGGACCAACCAGAAAAAAATCCAGGAAGTCAGGACTTTTGTTCGTATGAGAGCGATGTGGGTAGGAACAGTGGTCCTCGCTCTAATCAGGCGCACATATTTCAAATATGGCTTCGAAAAACGCCACCCATGAAACAATAGTTTGTCGCGATCTATTTTCCGTTACGTAGGCACTCATTGAAAACCCATTTGCATCCCGATGTTCAAAGTACATCCATCACAACTAACAGCGATTACTACCCCTTAATTATGATTACTACATTTTGGTGAACACCAACTTCTAGTTACCTCATGTTATATATCCGAGTGAGCAGATTTCCGTTTTACATTGAAACGTAGTGGAAACACAATGATATTTATACGAAATGTATGAAGCTTGAAGACTCGTCGCCAACATATCAAGTTCTCGAGAAATTAACGAGTAAGGCTGAATAACATACTGGAGAAGCGCACCATGTCAAGTTGTACTACTTGCCTTGTGCACCCCATCAATTGCAATGAATCATCAAAAGCTGAATTCGGTCTGCTTGCGTCTCAAAAGTGAAGTTCGACTTTAGCGAATATACGCACATTTGCAAACTAATTTGGTTTTCCGATAGACTCACCTGGAACCCAGCTGAACCTATCGCTTGTGACTTATTCAGTTTCCAATTCAATTGTATACAATTGTATACCATTAAATTGTATAAATTCCATATTTCAGGAGTGGTCTAGAACTCAACTCTGACTTCTGATTTACATAGGTTCTCAGAGTGTGTGTATAATAGAATAAGGTCAATCAATTATCTATTCGTGATTCATCCAGGTTAAAAGATATGTTATATTTAATTCCCCCAGGCTCATGCCTGCTTGCTAAACTGAAAAATTTATATACCACTGGGAAACCACATCAAAATGTACTTTGGTTCTAACTGCCAAAAACGTCGCAAAAAACATCAGAGCCATCAAACTCTATCTCTCTTTTCGTAGTTATCAGTCACTGCGTGTTGAACTGCTACACCAAGATAGAATTTCCATTTTTTGAAAGGCAATTGAGATTGAATCAGCAATTTTTATGTAAAAAGTTGAATAGGAACCTAGTTGGTTCATAAACTTTACGTGGAATTAGCCAACTGCTCCTGATAATTTGAATTGACCTTCCACAAACAACAGATGTGTCGCATGCTCAGGGAACCAAATTTCGATTCCAATAGCAAATACAAGGTAGTTGAAAACGAAGGAAAAGACCAGGTTTGAATATACTGGACAGTGACTTTAACTAACAGCAAAATGTCATCGATTTCATTTAAGGGCACCGGATGAGGAGATGCTCACAAACTCTACTACTGGTTGTGTTTCAACGTAAATTTACCTAAGAGAATTACCTTTTCACACCACTTTTGTCATTTTGTTTGTTGTGCAACCTATCGGGTTCACTGCCTAAATAATTATTAGTGTCTAACAGAAGGTTCACAAATCGTCGTGGAAATTTATTCCCAGACAAGCGCCGGAACTAACTTCCAACACAATTCATTAGCCTTTCGTTTTTTATCTTTCCGGTTTTCATGATAATTTCTCTCAAAAACCCACTGCCACTTTTCATGATTTCATTCCTGAAATCCGTTCAAAGGCAAAGTGTTGCATGAATACATGCACGAAGATATCCACCAGGGTGCGAGTTCCGGTGCGAATGAATTTCTGCATCAGGGCACACCAGGTTCAAGTAAAATGACATTGCGTGTCATAACAGAATACAAAACGTAGGACAGACTAATCATTTCCACTATATTGCAGAATGGTAATATACCTGAACGAACACTAGTCATAAGGTCATGGAGAACTCTCAGGCAGTCCTTGACCGGTTTTGACCTTCTGCTTTTGACCTATCAGTTAGGTTAACATTCTTGTCCCCCCAACCTGCCAAGGTCTTAGAATTACAACTGAATCCATAGAACAACAGTCGGAGAGCATATTCTCTAGACAGCTCGAGATAGCTGGGTTGTTAAGGCGCGAATTTACTGGGCGGAGGGTTTGCGGTTCGGGTCCAACCCTTTTATTTCGCCATCTCCTCTCTAGAATTGAGCAGTATCTCAACCCTCGTAATTGTTTGAATGGCACCCTAAAACATCTGAATGACTGATTAATATTCATCATTTTTATTACATATGAACATACGCAGTTGTGTCGTATTGCGCAAAAATTATGGGGAGGGGAGCTTCATGTGGACGGAAGCATTATACTGCAATGAACCGTGTGCTACGATCGTATTGAATGTCTTCCGACGCCAACAAAATTTGCGCCCATGTGATTGAAAAAAATGATGATAGAAAAGTAAATTCGTCATCGTTGACTAAGAATTGTGGATGGTTGTGTCACTTTTGACCAGAAACACCGAAATTTGTTGACAAACGGCAGGAACCTTGGAGAACAACTGCAATGATCACATGGAGCAAAAGGATAGAATTGGGTGGCTTGTAGAGCAGCTCCCGGTCGACCAAGTCAGGATAAAATTGCACTTCTGGCTTGATGTTCAGAGCATTTTGCCACAGAAAGTCCTCAGGATACCGACGGACACCACTGCGGCCCAAGACAAATGGCCGCACTCGTGTAACTAAGAAGAGGTGAACAAACGGAGCAGGTGGGATGAGATTGGAGGAAATTCTGAAGCACATTTATGGAACCAATTCGGTAGAATAGAATTCAATTTCTTTGCAGGCCGTCTGTTCTTCGAATATAACTTTCTCTTCCGACACCATAAGATCAGCTACAAAGGACTTATTAATATTTGAAATAGCAGGAGTGTCGTTGACAGGCTGACCGCTGATATTCAACTCGACCTGATCAATGTGTCTACGGTGACAAGAATGGTGACCAAACTTCTGCCACTTCGTGAAAGTATCATTCCTATAGCTGGTCGTAACTCAATACTCTTGAAATATGTAACATCAGCCGTTTTGGCGTAGTCGAAACTTGCGAAACTTACGAAACGAGCAAGATTTGAATATAAGCGCAGGACTCTTCCTGTATCGCATTATGAAATTATCAATTCCAAGGTCTAATTCACAAAAGAAGCGGGATAAAAGAAATGGCACATCACGGTGTTCGGACTCAATTTTAAACAGGCCCATTCGACTGGGAATATCGTGGAACAATAACCATTTGACTACATCCAGCATCCTTTAGTTGTTCCTCAAGGGATTCTGCAGTGAACTGTGTGCCATTATCAGTGACTAAAACATGTCGAAAAAATTCAAGGCTGAATGCCTTCCTCAATACTTGCCGTATGAATTCGGCACTTAGAGAAGTACCTAGAAAAGCTTAAGACCAACATGAGTATGCGTCAATAACAATTAAAGTACAGCATTTACCGAGAAAAGGGCCACAGCAGTCGGCAAGAACTCGTCAAAATGCTTCACAAGAAGCTGGTAACCGGTGCCACTTTAATAATAGTATTGAACCGCATGCGCACATTTGACACAATTCTTAGCAATAGACTAGATGTCAGAATCCAGTTCGAGCACCAACATTGCAAGTGTGCAAGGATTTCATTTTTGTCAGTACCCAGACGACCGGAGTGCAAATCTGCTAGAACAGCCGCTAGCTGAGTCATTGGAATGATACCGCTGTCCCCACATCGGAACAAACCATCTGGAGCAATGAACACAGCTTTGCGGCGACACAGAATATCTGGATATCGACGCTGATGTTTAGGAGGTTGCCTCGGCTGCTGCACTGGAGACCGACTGGGGTAATTTGGCGATGCTGAAGACACTCCTTATAGTCGAGGCGACGGTGGCCCTGGATGCAGCTAAAATGAACCTTCGGAAGCTGGACTAGGTTCCTGCGAAGTAAGTTCTTCAAAAGGAGCTCGTCAAAATTGTCGACCGCCAGGAGGCTCTGAAATGGTTCAAGACGGTCAGCATTGGACCTGCCTGGGTTTTTCACCGACCTGCAGCAGTCGCTTAATCTGGCCTTGCCAGAACTGATACGAGTGTCGCGCCAGCAGTTGTTGTCCGCTCTATTCCCGAGTATGCTGCGATAGGCGCTGTAACACATTCCACCATGTAGTCCGTTGTCGGGATAGGCAGGAAGAGAAACCTGTGCCTGATTGATACAGGTGCCGAAGTATCGCCGACACCGGGAGGGAACAAAGCTGAATGCAAACAGTGCGCGCTAGCCGTGAGACCAACGGGGGATACCGACTGAAATTTGACGGATTGTCAGTACACTCAATGTGCCTAGGCGACAGCTCCGTGCAGCACGCGCTCCTGATTAGCACATGCATAGAGCAGGCAAATTTGACAGTACATTCTGTCAAAAAATTACTTACCTACCTACCTACATAACATGCTCAGAGTATAAGATGAACACGTTGTCATCAGGACCGCTGTAAGTAGGCAGAAAGATTAAGTTGGTTTTGAAGACGAGATTATTGGGAAGCGTAACCAAAGCACAGCAAAAAATCCACAGAACTATGAAGATGGCAAACACACAGGTCAGAATATTGATTTGTCTATGCTACTGGGTATAATCTGTGGTCAAATTTACTTTCACTGCTCTGCTTTTTGGAAGGCCACATGAATGCGGAAATGAAAAATCGATTTTTGGACGTCCGTTGGTTTATTGTTACTCCACGTGGTATAGTAGCTCCTATGGTTTTGAATGTATGAAGGTGATTGAAGGCGGTTTTATACTTCAGTTAGTTTTATCGTCGTGTATGAAGGTATTGAAGGCGGTTTTATACTTCAGTTAGTTTTATCGTCGTGTCATTGGAACGGTTAAACTCAGCTATTTTGAAATCCTAGTCTTACTAGCATGATTTTATCTGTGCATCAAAATATCTACACTACTCAGGGACATATTGTAAATAACGAGAGCCAACCCTACATTTTGAACCGGGATTTCCATGATGCCATATGTTTTTATATGAAACTGATCTGGATAGATTCTGTGTGCTGGTCTTTGATCAAGAGGGCACCCGTCGGTTCTCTGTTCCCGATGATCACCTTACAAAAGTTTCATCAGCAACCGAAGTGACATCATGAGAAAATGTATGAGTCGGCAGTCCCTCTACACCTGTCTGGCATTATGCCGCTGTGACTGGTTGACGGGAACAAATAGCTTGCAGGATTCAATTGGTCCATTTCGATGTGCACTGCGTTGTGTTTTGCATTCCTTGATTTTGATAGGTTATTTCAGGAGATTCTGTCTGAGGACCATTTGGTAGCGCTCCGATTGACCGGTTACTTAGTTCCATTTGTTTCATCCGCCTTGCTCAAATTTAGTAGGCTCTCAATCAAACTTCGGATTTTAGTATGTAATATTGCTCCGATCGTCCCGAATTTATTTTGTGTTGTCGGATGATCTTCAGGAACCGCTTAGCTAATGGCTCATTTCCTGATAAAAATGTCTTTATTAAGGAGGGGAGTCTATGGGCTCTGAGACTGTGTATTTCACTGTTTAAGCAAACTACATGGTTTGGTTAGCTAAGGAATAAGATGCTTTTATTCACTTCGCCTGTCAGTTATGCAAAAGATCAGTAAAGGTACCTGTTTGTGGCGGAACAGATTGCTCCGAAATGGAAGAGAATAATAAAAACGTCGAGCTCACCTTTAATGAAGCTTTGTACAACATCAGTCAACCTCCCAAATACAAACTGTTAGACTCGCAATATGACAAATAATAAAAAATGTTTTTGAATATGACGAACGAAATATTCTGCATGAAAACCTTTGGATACAGAATACTAGCTTGCTACAACAGGATATAATGTCCGTGACAGGCAGTGAAATCTCCATACTCTAAGCGGCAGTAAATATATAGTGCCAGTGACCCATTATTATTTTGCGGACGAGTTCAGGAAAGTGTGTGTTTCAACCAGAGTGCTTTTGGATGGTGCATGCGGGAACTCCCCACTTCAAGCTATTGTCAGGACTGGGGTCACCTCAGAGTAAGGCCTATATGAACAGCTACCAAACCGCTGCTTTGGAACGGTGACCAAACAGAACACAAGGCACACAGTTTCCGGAAGTGAGAAGCAGAATGGCAGCAGACCACCAACTAATATGAAGCTAATGAAGTTTTATTAATCAGTGTTCTTAAAACATTTCAATTCATATGGGCGTGTGGGAGCTGGGAATATATATTTAATCATCCATCTAAGGGCGCACGAGGAAGCATCAGTTACTCAGGAAACGCGCACAAAAGTGGATGATTACGGATTGCGCCGCAATTGCAAATCCAAACAGTGTATACCTGACCTATGCAAATGATATAATAGTAACGCATAGTCTAAAATTGAAAAACCCGTGTTTCCCTTAAAGTAATGCAAATATTTTTACTAACTTCGGGGAGCTTCAACTAAAGCGATAATCTACCAAGTTTCTTACAAGAATACTAAACACGCATTTCGTCAATCCCAGAAATCTGATCTGGAACACGAGAATTGTAGCTGTGTTCTGCATGTGCATCAACAATATCCACTTGCGCGCAAACTCACCTTTTCAGCACCTTATTCTTATTGGTTACAAGTTTCTCATATCTTTTAATACTTTCAAAAAGTTACCCCGTGTGACATCCCAAATCAGATGAACACGCATGATCAATTATTCCCGCTACAATAATTTTCTCCACACTCTTTGTATTACCAGTATCCATTCACTTTCAGCGTAATACATAATTGAAATCTAGGATCTGCTCACCATCTTCACTCATATTATTTCCAAGATGGTCGCTGTATGATGAAAACTAAAGAATTTGATTGTTGGCCTGTTTGGGAAGCCCAGCGTTAGCAGCTGAATTGAAGAGGGACCACCTGGATTACTACCAAGTAGCGCTCCTCTACCTCAGTAGCTAGGGAACACAACTAGTCGATATCTTGACGTGAGTACCACTCATCAGCGCTCAACTGAATCACAGTGGATGGTTTAATTTACGATATCTTCAAGATGAATTTGCTCCTGGAAGCGCTGCTGGGTTTGGTTGATGCAGCATTCGAGATATCACAGGATATTTCCCCGGTTAACACTATTCGTTCACTGATGGTCACCGTGCACGTTTGATGGTTTTATGACAAGAACGCTCGCCTACTTGACAGGCGAAAATTAGAAGGTGGAACTCGGTCATGGGCTGCCTGAAAGTTCTCCATGACTTTACAACTAGTTTTCGTTCAAGTATATTTACCATTATGCAATATAGTAAAACTGATTAGTCTGTCCTACGGTCCGTGTTCTGTTTTGATACGCAGTGTCGTTTTACTTGCTCCTTGTGTTCCACGGTAACCTGATGCAGAAAATCATTTGCACCGGTACTCGCACATACTTTTCCACGATAGTCAATTTCCACACCCTGGTAGATATCTTCGTACAAGTAGTCATGGAACACTTTGCCTTTAAACGGATTTCTGGAATGAAAGAATGTAAAGTGGCAGTGGGTTTTATGGGAGAAATTTACAGGTAGATCGGAAAGAAAAAACGAAGTCTAATAAATTATGTTGGAAGTTGTTTCCCGGGCTTGTCTTGGAATAAATTTTCACGACAATTTGTGAACCTTCTGTCACACATTCGGCGATTAACTAATAATCCTTTAGGCAAAAATAAGTTAGGTACCGTACGATGTTCCCAATAGGTGGCACAACAAACAAAATTACAAATGTGATGTGAAAGGGTAATTTTCTTAGGTAAATTTACGTTGAAACACCACCAGTGGTAGAGGTTTGGGAGCTCTCCTCATCCAGTGCCCTTAAATGAAATTCGATCGGCAACGAACGGCTTACGGTTTTTAGCACCTGCAGGCGAGATCAAACATCCTGTCTTCAGTAGGTTTCTTCTACTTATACAAACAATCGACTGTAGTACAAAATCTTAAGCGTACTAGAATATCTGTTTAATTTTCGCTCCAAACCTTCGACTGTGCTGATTTTATCGGGGTTCTGCGGCGTTTCCAGTCATGATAAGCCATGAACGAAGAGAAAATTGATAACACATCTCACGTCAATCACGCAAATTCATAATCATGTGCACCCAAATTTTATTCATGATTTACATCTTCGAGACGTATGGCTCAACAATGAGACGTTTCAAAGTCAAACAACGAAACGCGTTTTGAACATTGTAGTTGTCATCTGATAGGAGAATTTGTACGTGATATTTACCTGGGATTGTTTGCAATATCGTCGTAGGCGAAGGTAATTATATTCTCCGCTGGAACGTTGTTTTTACGCACGATTTGATACGCGTGGAAAACGTCAGCCTGAATGAGAACACAAATGAGAGGCGCATTAAGAAAACTGGCAGAGTGATGCATGGAGGTCAAAGAGAGCAAGCAGGGTGTGTAGGATAACCCTACTTGATGGGGTATCAGTTTTCCAACAGAATACCGATGCATTATCCCAAGAACAAGATCATGATTCTAGTCTGGAAGGGCTTGCGTGGACCACAGTTCCACATTCAGTCAAGTGTCAGAACCTGTGCACCGGAGTTGTACAAACTTTGTATCCCTTGGCTTTGAAAATACGTCTGAATCTGTCGATCGCTTTTGTACTAGATAAATAGCCACATTGCGTTGAAACTCAGTGGCAACAAAATATTACCTACCGAGCCTTAACAATGGATAATTATGGACTCCTTATGTATAACATTTTCAATACAATCCTCAAAAAACCCCGACTAAATGATGCTCCATTGGACGAGCGACTTTGATCAAAGTGGCGCCCTACATGTTGATTGGAAATACACTCTTAGCAAGTTGTATAGCATTGCTTGTTCAAATTGTCTTTGCGAATACTTTTTAGTCATTTTAGAAATAAAAGCTGTTCCTTTCGGCTCTGAAAAGAGGTAAACAACTAAATTTTTGGTGTCCCAATCATCGTCATACTCTGTACGAGTGTGCTTTCTTGGGAGACTTTCTCGAACGGATCCGCTCTTGATGGCTCAGTGACTAGGTGAACAACGTTGGTCATTTATTCTCCAAATAAGCTCATCATAGTCCCATGTTTAACATTCATCCATTTGAAATATGTTTCATGTAAAACCATTCTAAATGAGAACAAATCCTGAAAGAACCTCGTAGATTGTCCATGCACGCTCCTTGGCAGTATTGTCACTCGAACTAAAATCTACCGTTTCTGGGTCTGTCAGAGAGAGGTTGGAACTCACAGAGGCCTGACGGTTTGTGCGTCTCAATTACCCACTAATCAGAGTATACTGGACGCTCACAGACCCTCCCCTAGCAGGTTGGTCTATGAGTAGAGATCTTTCAGGTTGGGGGTTTAACGTAATCCACATGAATTCTGTTTAAGGATTTAAGCTTCTCTAAATGCCTGCACCATGTACCACCATTTCGGGAATATACAAGTGTAAATGGGCTTTCAGGATGAATGCCTTAACCGCGGACCCTTAATGGCCTCCCGTCAATGTCCGGGTGTCCCGGTGTACAGGCGCGTAATACTGATGACACATGCCTACGCCCTGCTATCTTTTTGTAGTTCCGCTAAGCGTCTAATGCAACGTGAATTTCGTAAAAAAGCTTGTGGAACCGCTTTAAAAGCATGATATCAAATGAAAACGCATGAAAGCTGAAGACAAATTTTGAGAATGTTTGGATTCGAAAACCTATGCGCAAATGAGACCTTCTTTCCTGTCCAATAGTTTATGGCTGCTCAGCTGATGTTTGCTAACAAACGACTCCGAGATGAAGGACTTTCCTCATTACCCTAGTAGCATCACAGTCTGTTTACAGGCGTGGATTGCACGCTCACAAATAATATCATGTCGCATCGGTCGTGAGTGGTGTCATCTTACCGATGGCGATGTCTGCTCTTTACCGCGGCGCGCGTAATCGCAATAGGCTATTTGTGATTTCTTTCTCGCTTCTCTTTCAGATACTCGTTATTTTCACATTCCTAATCCTGGTGCCAGAGATATCCATATAGTTCCTTTCTTATAACAAAGGGATCAGTTGGCTTCCCATTATCGTAAGCTGCAACATCCGCGGTCAACTCGGTTGCCACATCCCTGAACTCTCATCAGTTTGTCTGCCACGTTATATTGCATGCGCTCCGAAACAAGTTGCACAGCATGTTTTTGCACTGGATTTGCCATCGCTTTTATTCCTAGTGAGAATTTAAATGTCCACTACGGTTGCTGAACTGCACCACTTGCGTGTTTCAGCTCGCTATCATCTGCATTATCCGGAAGCAAGTGTTGCTATTTTCAATGGTTTCGGCGCGGCTTCCGTTGTGAACTGAATTTTCCTCAGCCTAATCACGTCAATTCACGAAGACATTTAAAGACATGGTCAAGAAAAGGAAGCATGATTCCAATCCTGAAAGACTTGTGTGGAACACAGGCTACAGTCGAAACAACGACAGGCGTACAGGAACTCCACGATCTTGTCATCCCTTGACTTCGATAATAACACATTCGATATTCTCGTTCGTTTCTTTACTAGAAAATATTACGGTTGAGGCGAAACATAAGGGCAATAAACTATTTCTAAGTGAACCTTAGGAGTGCTTACAGATACATTTGAAACGTTTGAGAATTTCCAAGCGATTCCAATGCAAATGTGTCAGGAATGAACGAACGAATTTCATCAAAGCGTCCCTCTATATGCGTCCCTCTTTTAATCAAATTCGCATGGCTTCATCGTACCAAGTAGCATACAATTATCTGCTCACATTGACTAGCGATAGAACAGATCTGTTCGGGGGCCGTAGGAATACTCTTGTGTTTATGCGAAACAAACCTTCCACTCGCAGTCAGTGATTTCACCAAAAATAACGATGTCGGTTTCCTACTAACATGAATCACGGTATGCAAGTTAGTAATAACCGGTGAATCGACCCACCCAAAGCAAAATTTCTCTGCACGACATGGAAATACTGACAAAAAAAAGCACAAGCTACGCAATGTCTGTCCATTATTTGTGGCTTCTATCCACCGCCTTCTCGAGTGAAATGTCACAGTCATGGTGGAAATTCGGTGGGACGCAGCAGGTAGTGTACCACTAATTCAAATTTCCACTTTGGAAACCCTTTCTTGTGGGATTTTGATGAACGTTTGAGCCCGAAAACAGTGGAAAACCAACGGAAACCTACTTGATGTCGATAATTTTCACAGGCATTTGTACCAGCAACGAGGATAACCCAGTTCTTCGACGGTTTGTCTTTAAATATAGACGACCAATTTTGCACACTTACGGCGTTCAGCCAAGCAAGTTGATTGATGCAGAACAAGAACGCAAATAGAAGCCAACAACGACGCATCATTTTCTGGTTTACTTGAAGCTTCATACGCCTGAAAGTTTATACTTTTGATCTCGTGTAAATTGAACTTTGCCATAATCATGTATGGTGATAGTGGGAAAAAACAGTCCACCAGGCTTCCAGTAGGCCTGTGACACAAAGTTCAACCAAACCAGGATATGATGGGCTATATTGACCGCCTTGTTCAATGACTGATCATTTGCGCAAACTTCCTTCCAACACTGTGTGCATATGAGTAACAGTTGGCGTTTTCGAGGACAAACGTGACTTATTTCGTTAAGCGCCTATGCGCTTCACACAGTAGTGAACAGCAAACGGAGTCTGCAAACGAGTTTCGCATAGCAGCTGGTATCCTATTAACTTGGTTCCAGGGAGACTTTGATTCGGATTTCTGTGGTTCAAAATCAAAGTGGAAATGCATGTGTTTGCAGTAGGTGAACCAAAATTTGATATTTCTAAGAAGCTGCGTATTTTCTCACAGTGTAAGTCGATGGTTTCATGACGTTTCTGTTTGACTTAATTGTGTGACACGGAAGGTCACATAAAGTCCTGAGCCAAGGAAAACAGCGGAGCTGTTGGTGGTCTCAGCAAAGCGTCTAAAATAAACAGATGTAACATGCGCTTCCTCAACGCCTGTGTACCTGTTGGCGTTTACCTCGTTAGTATACCGCGACATGCATACAAAATATCTTTAACAACTCTTCTTTAAAACCCTTCTTTGAAGCAAGGCGATTACCTAAGTAAAGTGCTCTGTGTTCTTAGGTGGCACTTATACCAAGGGAAATTCACAACAGGCGCTACAATGAAAACTTCCAGCGCCTCACATTGCTGGTAAAACGTTCAGCAAAATGAACGGGTAGAAAGCGCGAGGATGTAGGACATATGTGCAAGCAAAGTGATATGAATATTGACCATTCTACCCCCGTAAATGGTGCATGGCTCACCCCGAAGAAAGTGAGGTTTATTGGCAACACTCGAAGGTTGGTCGAACCCGTATGGGCAGGAAATCATGACCAAAATGGATCCAGCCTCATTTTCAAAGAACCATTGTCAAAGATTTTTTTCCACTTTAAGACATCCGAAATATCGCATCTCAGTACAGCAATCACTGCGTCATGATTTATGATGCACCTGCATGGGGCGTGAACCGAAGCCGCCTGAACATTAAAAAGAGAAAGTGAACACTGGTTAAGTTAGCTAACACTACTGGGATACATATTCTGAATATGGAAATCCATTCTCGACAAAGGAAATAGAATTAATACTTCGTATAAGTTGCAATCGTTGAGTCAGTTTTATCGAAGTCCTCGTACAACGACACAAACGAAGAGATGTTTTCAAAATAACTTAAGGCTTACTTACCCCTGTCAAGATGAATGAAGACCTAAAACACTAAATTTATTTGAAAAATTTTGGTAATGTTTACCAGAGAGGTATCCGTTCTGCATTTTCTTAGCCGAACATGAAACGTTTTTGGTTCAAATATGTGCTGACATAATTCGGTTTCTTACAAACTGCAACTTAAATTGCGCGGGCACCATAAATTGAAGGTACAGGAAAATAATGTGCAAAACGCCAAAAGTGTCAAATATGCTTTTAGGTTCTCACACCTATTCCAAAATCTCAGTGCTGTTTGTCAAATTGTGTCCTAGAAACTAAATTGACCCACTCGTAATCAATTGCTGAGAAATTCTAGTTTCCAAAATACCAAAGCAACCACGTTATTTGTGTGGTTCGTGCCGGAATGTATTTGATTTTTGGAAAGCTATATCCTTGTGAAATGCGGGTTGAAGAACAGCCAGTTAAGGAGGAGGCAGTTACATGTCACTTCCCATTGAGAAACGCCGCCTAGTTAGGAAACTCAGAAAACCGCGTGTTCTTCTTGGCGTTCGTCTATTTCAATATGCTTGCCAATCAATTAGTATTTATTCACTTTTTAAGACTGTAGCTCTTAGCTGCCTCTTCTACAACTTCTAGAGTATTTGTCCATTAAATTAAACCAAATAATCTTTATGAAACATGATGACCCGCTTACGTACAGAAGAACAAATAGACCAATAGAGAGGAGGTTGTGCGAAAAAGCACATTTGATTGCCCTACTAAATACATCTAGTCCGAAGTTCGAATGGGGTGGCAGTCAAGGACCTCGAGTAACACCAGGTGAAGAAATGTAGAACCATACGTGTGTAGATGGATTGAATAAGTCGAGAGCTAAAAAAAATGAAAAAAAATGTTATGATCCGAGACGAACAGATAAAGGTTATACACACGGTCATTCTGTGTTGCTTTGCTACAATCAACTAACTGTAACGAGCCCGCTTCTAGTTGTTCTAAGGGCGAACGCATTTCTTACCGATTATGTGCTGTTACTCAGCTGCTCTGATGTTTGGGTTGGCGTTAGCGCAGTTCAATAATTTAATCCCATGGGTCAGCAAGAAATTTAATTCTTTACAGAACGCCCATGAAGCGATGGGATGGAAACCCAGACGGGAACAGTGGAAATGCTGAGGTTGGGTTCGAAATCCATAGTTCATACTTTTATCCCTGCGCCACCGCCATCTCACGAGAATGTTCGTTCTTGTGTTGCGACAGCTAGATGCCGTGGAGTTGAACGAGATCCTCGCCCATATGCATTCAAAAAAAGTACAACAAATTGGTGCTGTACGTGGGGGCATGCTACTCTTGCTCTTTGTTTCGAAATATTCTTCCTTGAAATGTGGGAAGTACGTAGCTTAAATTTATGGCTGGCTGTCTTGCAGATCCTGAGTAATAGCGCTCAGAATGTACTTCAGATATGGTTAAAGTACTGCACTTTCCAATAGAACAAAACCAAATTTCCAAGCTTCAGTCGTCTTTCTCTTCTTTGTGAACCTTGTAAGGAAGTAGTTTCTGGCTCTACTCAACAACCGTTTAGCCGGGACTTTCACAAAATTCAGCCTCAAATGATTGGTATCGCTTTTTCGATGAATAAGTTGCATATCGGTGGAGGAAATCATTGTGTAACCCGTACAATACCTGTGCTATATTGGTGTCCCTGTCCAGCGATTACCACTGCAGTTTGATACCATCTTTGTCAGTTGTGAATGGATCATGACAATTGTATAAAATTTACACTTCAAAAAACAGGTTAGATGCTTGCATGCAATAAAAAATAGCGTATTCATTCTCATACTGATTTCATTTTTACGAGGGGACCCAACCGACACCAGCGAATGGCCTCGTTCATGCGAGATTTTGGCCAGTCCTCTAGTCTGGTTTCAAGAAAGAATTAATCTTTGCCTACCTGATTCGCCATAGAGACATAGAGACATGAAAACCATAAAATCTGACAACGAGTTTTCAGAGACTTTCTGAGAAGGGGGTCAGTTCCAGATTTCATGCAGATTCATAATTTCTGCGAGTCAACGGATCAGTTTGCGAATAAGTTGCTTCACTATTATACGCATAGTTGATGGCGACCGATATTATCTTTTTTCTGCAGTCTACGTGACAACATCAGCCAAGGAAAATGAACAATCCTGGTCCATCCTTTGTGAAGACAAGGATATCGATGTTTGTCTAGCAAGCGAATACCGGTGCGCATGGATCGCAGATTCGGAATGCGTAAGTATTATCAAATCTGCTGCAGATAAACCCATCAGTTGTGGATAGATAATCCGGTGGTAGTCAGGAGCCATGGTAGACTACTTGGTTCCTTAAACCACTTATTCGTTTAGTTCTAATATGTTAGCCATAATATGTTAGTTAATACAAATCTTTGGATATGGGTGGGGCCAGATATCTTCTGGAGTCTGCAAATACTATTGACGATTGTAAAAACTCAGGCCGAAGTTTTGCTTTGTCTTCTGCAACTCGTTTGTTATGCGCCGAGCAGATGTATGTTTCTCATCTAATCCCCCACCCGTCTTGCACGTGGATGCTTACGCCTATCCAGCTATCATTTTGGTAATAAACATTTCGCAGATTGTCGTTTACTCGGCAACATAGTCATTAACCGCTCCGCCAAATTGGACTTGTCCGCTCATCCCAAAATTCAACCTCCGAATGCAGATCGAACTATGGTGTCACAAAATTCGATGAGTCAGCTCCGATGTAGTTTAAATTGAATCGAGCTGGGCAAATGCTTTCATTTGGCCTGCAACCTACCCAGCGGTAATTTCCCTCAATGGTGCGGTGCCCTTTGTGAGGCAGGTTATCATTGTTTTCTAGATAGACCAGCGCACAAATGAATACTGACCACTTCCACAAACATCACCAACAGCGTCATCACCAATTTGGGTTTGAAGCATGAAAAAGATTTAGTTGAATTCAGCAATCACGACTACCCGTTGGCTCCAAAATAAGGAAAGCATTAGTTTGATATCTAAGCTTTCTCACTATTCTCACGATCACCCATACCACTGACTTTGCATGGGCGTGAAGAGGTATGCATAGGGGTGTGAAAGTGTCTATCAAAATCTGGGTGCCAACGGTGTACCTCGGCCCCTAAGACGGAGACTGCATGAGTGCCACCGTGTTTGGGTATTTTTTAAGAAATTGTGTACATGATTAATATTAGTAGATTTCTTGTTGTCATTTTTGATTAGGTTGCCTGAGTGAGTGTCTAGGGCTGCCGGGGCATCGGAATTATTGTGGTAGTCCAGCACCAAGATTTTCCTCATCCATTTTAATTCTTGTCTCTGGAATCGGATTTCGAATGCGCGCAGGGAATCTCCAGTGTTGAATACGGATGCTGATAATGATGACGTGGGTGATCATCATGATGATGATGGTAACAATGGATCTCATGAACGCCATGGTCTCAATAAATCTGTCAAAATAAACCACGAAACGAACTTGGTCGGATAGACATTCACTCGGGATTTAGGTCATCGTTAACCGATTTCTCACATATCCCCATTCATCTCAAATGAATGACATTTCAGTACTACCCTAGCAGACGATTCTTTATTCAAAATATACAACACAAGTTGGCTGACCTATGCAGTACGTATGTTTAGTTACTAACTGCTGAGAAGGGTGTTGTATTCGTTGCCCAGTCCGGAGTGTCGTAAACCTAGTGATGAACAGAAATTGACATGACAATAGGGAGCTACAGATTCTAAGAAAAGCTTCAATACTATTAGGGTTATTCGCCTTTCCAAATGGGGTCAACTTGACATTCCCAGTTCTTGGCTAGAGACACCGAATGATATAGCAACCCAAAGTTTTCATCGGCGCTCATGCTGTTTCAGTCTGCTCCCTTTCCTGTTCCATTATCCTTCCAAATTTTACTACAAATAAATTGAAATGCTCGTACGACAGTGAAGCATATGTATTTTCCTCTGCTGTTGCATTCGACGATGATGATGATGATGATGATGGCGGTGATCATTACGATAGAGCATCAAATCCCAAAAACATGTAGTCCTGCAACATCAGGGTGCTTACTAATTTAGCAGTAACATGTGTCGTCCCATACCGCGGTTGTCTTAATTCTAGTGATAGTTTCCCGGTTTTGCCTACATTGAATCTATCTTGAAATTTCGTAAGCATATCCGCATACTTCACCTAGCCTTTGTCATTATCACCCCCTCGCGCGCAACATGACTTGAAAACGCGTACACTGGATCAACAGTACGAGGAGGTGAAAAAAGGACAGCAGATGGTCATGTGATGAAGTATGGTGAGATGGTGAGTCACACGCTGTCACGGAGAAATTCAGTTGAGTTACTTGTAAAAAAGCAAACTGTTATGAATATGAGATGACAGTTGCATTTCGTTATCTTTCAAATGTGGCGGTCATTTTCGAAAATAGCTGATTTCAGATTCCATAGACGAAGTTCAGGAAGGTTCCTAGTCCAGGTATTTAGTTATCCAATGGCAGGTGTCATTTGCCGGATAGCCAATCGATGGTGTTGGTACTTTATGCAACATTTGTTCCTGTGCTGTGGTACAAACGGAAGTCAAAACTTTATGAATCAACCACAAGTATCTCGGGGGAAGAATGAATTTACACGATGACTGAGACTTACTTCTGAAAAGTTAACACTCGAGGAGCAAGTCAATTGATGGTCAGGTGATGTAGTTTTCCGTGATTGAACAATGATTTACGCTTTGTGCTGTCTAAATGAAATCCAATCACAATGCAGCTCACTCCCTTGTGGCAGCGCGTTTATCAGTTCCTTACTGGAGTGAGATGCGCGCTTTTTCTCACTCACACTAAAGAGTAAACACTTACTCAATGCTTCAAGGTTTTTCGGCATAGATAGCCTTCGTCGAAAGGCAGAATATCCATTCAAATAAAAAGTCCAGCTGGGCAGAAATAATTGGAATTGTCAAATAACATGGGTACAGACGATCGATAGAAGCACATCTGGGACTCGTCGTGATGCGATTGAAGTTTAAACCAGATTATGTGACGACGCCGTTAGTGCACTTGCGAGCTGCGTTGCGTGATTCAGACATATGTTCAACCAAGCGCACATTCGAAATACACATCGACATGTCAGATACTGCACTCTGGACCGATTCGCAGAAATTTAGTGATTGTAGTTTTGAACTTCCTCCTGGACCTCAACCAGCAAACTCAGTTGTTTATACTTGTGATTCGGCGGACACCATTTTTCTACACTGACGATTGCGAAAAGGTTTTGGAATTAATTTTCATCGACCAATCGGGTTTTTAACATGAACAGGTGAGGACTAAGGTGTAAACCTACGCCTGCAGGTTGTATCGACAAGTATGACATCGTGGCTGATAATACACTGATAGGTCTGATAGGTGCTGTTTATTGTTTAATTCGGGCGATAGGAAGTCTCCCAGTTGGAAAGTTCCAATGTCATTATGATCTACTTATGCACCGAAATGACGGAACAATACTAGTTGGTGCTCAGCGCCATGTTCCATATATGTTCAAAGAACTAAGCGACCACCACATACACCAATGACACACTAATAAATTGGCGCTTTAGAGGCAGAAACGCCTACAATCCCATCCAATATCGCCAAAGAGTGATAATTTAGGACTGACTCAATAACCTCAATTAAAATGTTTTCTTTTGATGGAAACAACAATTATTGCGGCCAACAACGTTCATCCTAGAAGCCTTTCCATGTGGTTTGCTACAGATAACTCAACAAATTGATAAATAACAATATAGACTGACAGATAAATATATAGATGGATGGTTGGATGAATGGATGGATGGATGGATGGATGGATGGATGGATGGATGGATGGATGGATGGATGGATGGATGGATGGATGGATGGATGGATGGATGGATGGATGGATGGATGGATGGATGGATGGATGGATGGATGGATGGATGGATGGATGGATGGATGGATGGATGGATGGATGGATGGATGGATGGATGGATGGATGGATGGATGGATGGATGGATGGATGGATGGATGGATGGATGGATGGATGGATGGATGGATGGATGGATAGATAGATAGATAGATAGATAAATATGTAGATAGATGGAGAGACAAACAGACAAACGGACAGATAGTTGGATGAGTAGTGATCAATCTACATAAATTCAGCGGAGCAAGCGAATCGTAAATCAAACACATGGAGCGTCCGATGATTACAGTAGCATGGTCAGTGATAATCCGGCTGATGTGAAATGCCTACCACTCCAAATTCAAGCGTTTCACCGATTAAAATTGTTCGTGGATTTCATATTATACCCTCCGACCGAACATGGCATTTACCACTGACCAAAATCAACTGCGAAAATCAAGGTGCTACCTGGTTCTGCAACATGGCGTTGTCTCATCAAGAATGTTCTTTCGAGGTGTTCAGAGCAAAAACGACACACGATAGTTGAAATCCCGTTTCAAATGTTTAGCGAAATACATGAAATGTTTAGTGGTGTTCTACTTACCCAAACTTGACTTACAGGCGACCGAATTTCCGCGACAATTTGCGTAACCCTGGCAACCCAGTGGTACTATGCATTTTCCTTTTTATAGTGAGTAGTTTACGAAGACAATTCTTCCAGTCGGCACTCTCAGAGCTCCTGTTGATGGTAAACGTTCCCCAATTGATTTTTTTGGGTTCGAGCCGAATGCTGTAGATAGAAAATCCTCTTCGCTGGCACCTTCGTTTTCAAAGCCTCGAAGCTTAATTGAGGCCACAACGGAGCAAGAAAACCAAACCGCTTGGCGGAAGCTGCAAAGTGCAATTCAAGTTTGCAAGTTGCTTTTCTCATTCCACTGATCGCAAACTAAAAACTGAAAGCGCGATAGATGTTGACTTTAGGTAAGACTCGAGTTGTGCAGTACAGAATAGGTGTTGCGAATACACGGGTGCAAATAAACCGTAATCAGTCCTGTGTTTTAGCGGTCTTTTCATGGTGCAACCCAATAATCCAAGGTGGCTTGTTTTGATGTGCTAGAAGCAAACTATTGTCTACCTATAATCCCCCATAACCAATCTCTACGCTTGTTTCAGCTTGACCGTTTTGCGGAGACGTTTCGCAATATCATGAAGGCCGTGACGAGCCCCCATAAGCCAACTCTGAAGGGCTTGTCTAAAAGGGATGAGCTCGTGTGTTTCCGGGCAGTATTCGATCAATTCCGGACGCACTGTCTCACAATTCAGCAGGCGAGTTGACCTCCTGAGGTACCGAAACATGGGCTTTTGTACATTACTAGCACACGCATTCACCCCTGGCGTCACGTATGTCGAGCCTCAGTCCCAAAACGACGTCCAAATAATCCGCTAGCAAACGACATTTACGGTAGGAAATTCCGGGGCAAATCCGATACTCACATCACCAGCATATTCCTTCTGCTTTTGAAATGGACCTTGATTCCGCAGAGTCGTGTTCATTAGTTCAACAGTCGGTGGACTATTTCCGGAGCCAGGTAGTGTCTAAATTCCTTATCACACAGGCGATTCATGGAAGGTAGAAAGTGATTTAGGCAGTTCGGAATTTCAAATAATCCGAAATGATATGAATTGGAATCTCCTATTCTTTGCAAAGTGCATATCGATGTACCAAGATTGGAAGCAGCTAGATGAAGCTGCCTGAGTTCAGTTCAGTTCATTTCAGTTCATTTCAGTTCAGTTCAGTACAGCACAGTTCAGGTCAGTTCAGTTCAGTTCAGTTCTGTTCATTTCATTTCATTTCAGTTAAGTTAATTTCAGCTCAGTTCAGTTCATTTCAGTTCATTTCATTCCAGTTCAGTTCAGTTCAGTTCAGTTCAATTCAATTCAGTTCAGGTTAGATCAGTTCACTTCATTTCATTTCATTCCAGTTCAGTTCAGTTCATTTTATTTCAGCTCAGTTCAGTTCATTTCATCTCAGTTTAGTTTAGTTTAGTTTAGTTTAGTTTAGTTTAGTTTAGTTTAGTTTAGTTTAGTTTAGTTTAGTTTAGTTTAGTTTAGTTTAGTTTAGTTTAGTTTAGTTCATTTAAGTTCTCTTCAGGGAGCGCTGATACCCGACTCAATGCCACTGAAAAAATTAGCACATACAATGATTTGCGATCACCTATATCTCCTTAATCACCGACACATTTACGGAAATTTCCGAAAGCTGGATGGCATACAAAACTGAATACTCAAACAAAACTGAATCCACATAGTCGCCTACTCAAGCACTGTAGGTAGTTTGCAATGATTCAGCTGATGTTTCGGTACCCGGGCACCAGACGAAAGCTCTTATCAGATTCACAGAATGATAAATCCACGTAGAGTCAAGGCTTGTAATCTTGTGTAATCTTGCAGTCTCTTCCATAAAGGTGGCCAAAATTAAACGAATAAATGATAAGAATGCCCCGACATCTGGGCGAGAGGTAACCACGTAGTCACATTACAACCTGGATTGAACATAGAAAACTTTTGTGTAAAGTGACAAAACTTGTCTGTATGTATTCGCAGCCGTAAAGCCTCTTGCAACTGTTACAGATTTTTACAAGTCTTCGCTGAAACTGGCCCACGTTGGAGACGCTACGAGATATGACTGGTACACCATGTCACTCGCTTTCTTGTTGTCAGTCTCTCACAGGCAAAAGGGTTAAACTTCTGCTACACCGTAGAAACGTGGTTCCGGAAGTATGATTACACTTAGGAGCTCAGGAAAATTCAGTGCTCGAGTCCAAAAATTACTGACTGTTTCGACTCCAGCCTCGGTATCTCGACTAGCCTTGTCCAGCAATGGGCTACTCGGCGATTGCTCAGCCCTTGTGCTTCCCTCGGGCAATATGGTGGCTGCATTCCAAAACGGTGCTGCGGCTGAATTATTACTAGTATTGTTATGTTCCCAATATTGACACTGCTATTTTACCACTTTGAATTTCGGCAGATCATGTTCAACTGTAGTGCTGCGTGGATCCGACTGATGAACTTATGTGAATACCGCTGCGCAAACTGAATCTTTCAAAAGCAATTGGACACAGCGCACATGTCGATTCAAGCACCTATGGAATGCAAATATTTGATCAAAACAAGTACTGAAAATAAGTCGAGAGTGTGTCAACTCAGGTGATCTTGCAGGTTAATGGTCACCTGGTTACTGATCTCTCACTCAAGCCAAATGTTGGATTGCAAAGCTTTCCGCAGTGACAATGTTTCCCATGCCAATGACAATGAAACGACTTTCAGGCTGAGCACTCTTGTTATTGGCATAAGCACTGTGTTTCGGCAAAAGGAGCTTATTTTCAGCATGGGTACTCAAAATAAGTCACGAATATTTGGTCGTTTGTTCATTTACGGAACTGGATTAAAAGTGCAAACCATGTTCAACCCAAATCCATCGAGCAAATATTGAAATAGTGTATCATCCTGACCGAGTGATGTCAACAAATGATTGAGCGCACCAGAGCAGAGCAGGTGAACAGCAGAATCACAAAATGTGCTGGCGATAAAAAGAAATTGCATCTTGTGGCACGTTTGAATGCCCAACGACACAACAGAGTACAAACTTCTAGCTAGAATTTCTGGTGGCCATTCAGGATTTAAATTGAAGTCTCACATATACAGTGGTTAGTTTAACCACCAATTTGAGATAATTTTCTCTGCGTTTTGACACACTATCTCGCCAACAAATCAATGTTTAAGCTTGTTTTCCGATGGAGAATGCGGTTTCCCCGTCGTTGCCGGCGGACGTGGACGAGCAAGCCTTTAGTCCTACAACCGTTGGATATTGGTTTCAATTTCCGTTATTCAACGGAAGCTTCGTACTGGTATTCAGAAATCTAGGCGGACCAGGCAATCCTACTGAGTTGGTATCGTGAAGATCGACTTTAATTTTACTAATAAAATTGGTAGTATGATGTTACACGTGAAAAGAGCTCCGAGCAAACCTGGCTGTTGGATTTCGTAAGATAGAATTCCCGAGACCTGGTTCATAGTCGAAAGTGTAGTTTACCGAAACAGAGGATGTTATGCATGCCGGCACTTCTGATGAGCTGAAGTTTTCAAAGGAACCCTTTTATGCCCAAATTCTTAGGACGGATGCGGAAAAACCCAGAGCTGTGTTTGGAATATTCTGTTCTATATTATTAGAGAAACCCCTCACTAGTTCAATCTGGTAGTCGTTTCGTGATTCGCCTATTTAACAACCAGGAAAATGTTGAACAAAGAACTGCTGATCAGCAGTGCGATTATCTCTCAGTTAGCCTGAATATAACGCCAATCATCATCAATCACAGAAACCAGCTCCCATGGTCAATTAGTATTGACAGGTTGCTCGATTGAGGACTTAGCAGAAGGAAGTTTCAGTTATCTTGTAAAACCATTCCTCATCCGATCTACTTATGGACCGCCAGTATCATGATAAGGATGGGACAGTTCCAATTGCGATTAGGTACATCTAGTGAAAATGGTCACAACCGCCAAGCTGAGAATCGCCCACAACAACCA